TACAGAGACCCAAACCTAAAACTCCATGGAAAATTCAAAAAAGGAAAAAAAAGGATCAAGTATTTGGGAACTTTATGAAACCCAAGGCCTAATCAAGCTGCTTGGAAAAACATGTAGAGGTATAACAGATCTTCTTTTTTTTTGAGGAAGATCAGCCCTGAGCTAACATCCGTGCTAATCCTCCTCTTTTTGATGAGCAAGACCAGCTCTGAGCTAACATCTATTGCCAATCCTCCTCCTTCTTTTTTTTTCCCCAAAGCCCCAGTAGATAGTTGTATGTCATAGTTGCACATCCTTCTGTATGTGCAACGTGGCCTCAGCATGGCCGGAGAAGTGGTGCGTCGGTGCGCGCCCGGATCCGAACCCTGGCAGCCAGTAGCGGAGCACGCGCACTTAACCACTAAGCCACGAGGCCGGCCCAAAGAGGTATAACAGATCTTTAAGAGACTATGGTGAGGTGAGTTTCAAACACGAATAGGGACATGTAGAACTTTGGGCATAGAATGATGTGGAGAGAGAGACAGATTTCTAGATGGGAATCAAGAGTGGTTTCTCGCCATTTGAAATGTGACCCAAAGCTAAGAAGGAGACATTGAATAGAATGAAAAAAAAAAAATTTCAACTTGCTCAGGGTTATGGAGTCACATCTAACTAACGTACGGACTTGAGTGACTAACTCCTAAGTAAAAAGCGACCCCTCTATCTCATTTAATTCCCTCAACTATAAACCAGCCTTTTGACATGCACGTTAATGTTGTAGAATCTTATTATTAAAAAGGGAATAAAGTAAATCAATCAGCAGGCAAGCCGGAACATTGTAGAATTCTCCACCCATTCCCTAGGTACCTCTAGGGACTTGAGAGTTACCTTACAAGGCATAATGGTTGGAATGTCTAACCTGCTGCATAGACTTCCCTTTAGTGGTTCTTAAATTTTAGTTTGCATAAGAATTGTTATATCACACTGATTACACAAATTCGTGTAGCTTATATTTACTGGGCAATTTTGACAACACTAGACTTGGTTTTATTACCAGCAGCTCTGATGAGATGCTGGTTGTGGAGAGGATGCATTCAGCCGACAACCACGTATGAAATGCCCGCCTCGCCCTGGTGATATACCTGTGATCAGGATGTGCATCCTGCCCTTGGAGCGCTCCAGGTGTAGTGGGGAGAAGTGGACCAGAAGAATCAAGTGCCACGAGTCCTGTGCTGGGGGAAGCAAAGGACACTAGGAGATTGAATTTGTTGTCTGAAGATTTAAAAATGTGTATCCATCTTGGTTATGCCTGACCAAGCATTGGGCCTGCGTGTTGAGGTTTCTTGGAGAGCCTGATGAGACCATTTGTCTCGTGTCAAGTTCAGCGGTGGGTTGCCCTGATCATTAGTAATCTGCCCAGAGGACTTGGTAGCTCACAACTTAACCAGAGGATGATTTTGCCCCTCAGAGGACATTTGGCAATGTCTGGAGACATTTCTGATTGTCATGACTGAGCGGGGCTGTTGACCTCCAGTGGGTGGAAGCCAGGAACGCTGCTAATCATCCTACAGTGCACAGGACAGCCCCACAACAAAGGACTGTGGCCCCAAATGCTAACTGTGCCAAGAGTGAGAAAGCCTGAGCTAGAAACCTCTTTCCCTGAATTTCATCAGAAGCAACAGTGACTATATATAGAAGCCTTGAGAGCTAACTGTTCCCTAATGGAAATGTAAATTCAGGACAATAAAACACGGACTTCTGAGGATAATGATGTGGACTGGATTATTCGTCATGCAATTGTGCACCTGACTCCACCCCATGGCAGCCTGGCTGCGCCCCATCCGTGCTGTTTGTTAATGTGGGGAAAACTGATGAGGTCTAATTGGGCTTGGTTAAGTGAATTCCCAGAGGATGCCCCCTAGCCTCTTTGCTCTCTCAGTAGCTGCTTTGTACTCTGTTCCTATCTTATTCTCCACGGAGATGCAGGGAAAGCCACGTCATTGTATTCTCACCTGTTTCAACAGGTTTTGTCTGAATGGCAGTTGAGAAAAGAATACCAGTTAAGGGGGAAGAAAAACATGCTTGGCCTTTGATTCTTGGATGGTTAGACGACCTCTTTCAGTGTAATTCTAGACTATTTAGTGTAGAGGTGGGAAAAGGGCGCTCAGAATGCATTTTAATTTTGATTATCTATTCTCTTGCCCCCCAAGACCGTGTGTTCTTTGTTTTGAATAGTGTTACCTGATATTCACACCGAGTCTGTTTTCACATTACAACCTGTTTTCTTAATTCTTATTCTAGGGTATATACTTGAATCTGGATCCTGAATTGAAGTGACTTGGTACAGATATAATACATCGTCCTTAGAATTCTCAAGTGAACAACAGAGTGTACAGACTATGAAGAAAAAGCCCCCAGTACAGATTGTCTGCTTGTATTTGCACATAAGACTCCATAATTATTTAACAGGTCCCTGTTGTTGAATATTCAATTGTTTACGAGTTTTGGGAATTAAAACCAAAACAGCAATTGGCATTGTTATGGTTAAGTTAATAATCATTTCTTGAGGAAACATCCTAGAAAAACAAAATTATTTAAAGAGAATACAAAATTTTAAGGCTTTTGGTACAACTTATCAAAAGTACCTCTGGAAAGTTGTACCAGTTTATGCTCTGAATAGATGTGCATGGACATGACTGTCTTCTTGAGAAGTCACAAACCAAGAGATGTGGTGGAAGTGTCTAGGGAGTCAAGAGTACGGTGAATGAACCTACTAAGTTATGACCCAACTACTACTGGAACTCATTCCCTTATTATTTTTGCCCTTACTTACTTGCCTTCTGCCACTTGCCTGTTTCAGAAACATACCAGGCATGCTTCTGCCTCAGGGCCCTTGCACTTGCTATTCCCTTGGCCTGTGACATGATTTCTCCAGATGTGTGCATGGTTCACCTCCTCACCTTCCAGAGGTCTTTACTCAAATGCTGCCTTCTCAGTGAAGTGTTCCCTGATTTCTCTATTTGCAATTGTATTCCTGCCCCTCCCACACAGGCATACTCACATGCTTTAGGTTCTCCTTCCCCGCTTCTTTTTTCTCCATATCCCTTGATGCCATCTAACATCTAGATTTGCTGCTGTCTCCCCAGCACCAAGAACAGGCCTGCCACAGAGTAGGGCTCAATAATTATTTGTTGAATGAGCAGCTAAACCGGTGCTTTGTAGATTTGCTCTTGCTGGTTAGCACTGATTAGCTCCACCGCAGACTTCCCTCATCATCTTTGGCCAAAGGAGCAGCAGTTTTGTTTTGGTTCATTTCCTTTACTTGTCAGCTCTGGTGATGTTAGTTATTTATGTAACTGCCATTGTTAACTCTGCTATCTCAGTCATCTCAGTGATGTCCAACTGCCACTGAGATCTGGGACAGCAACTGACAAGGCCTACTGTGGTCAGATAAAGAACCAAATGCACGGGTTTGATTAGAATCTTCATACAGAGATCAATTTCTAAAAAAAGACCAAGAACCCAATAGAAAAGGGGCAAGGATTTTGGACAGTTCCCAGAAAAGCGAATGTGGGATTTTGCCTCTTTGTGTTCAACCTCATTCACGATAAGAGAAATACACGTGAAAAGTGCATTGAGATATATTTTTCTCAGTGTGTCAGGTCTGCAAAAGTTCCATCTGTTGAGGAGGCTGTGTGTAAAGAGGCAGCCTCGTCCATTGATCGAGGTAGTGAGGATTGGTACAACTCCTATGGAGGGATATTTGGAAATGGCTATCAAAATTGAAGACTGTGTATGCTCTTTGACCCAGAATTTCACTTCTGTGAATCTGTCGTAAGGATGTACTTGCACTTGTGCAAAATGATGTGTGCATGAGGTTATTCACCACAGCTGGTTTATAATAGCCAAAGGTAAGAAGAGGACTAGTTCATCAGATAGGATACTTCCCTACAAAGAACTACTATACTATGCAGCTGTTAAAGGAACCAGGAGGCTCTATTTCTACTAACATAGGAAGATTTAGAAGATACATGAAATGAAAAAACAGGGTATAGATTGCTGCCTTTGATACAAGAAAGGGGAAAATGTAATATATTTTTGCTCTTGCCTTATATACATGAAAAAATTCTGGAGGAATACATAAGAAACTAATAACAGTGGATAGCTGGAGGGTTGGGGGTAAAAGTGGATGTCGGGTGGGTGCACAACTTCAGAAGGAGGGGGATTCTGCACTGTATAGCCTCACACACACAAACACACACACACATTCAAGTTTTGAATCACATGAATGTTTTACCTGCTCAAAAATATTAAGTTAAAAAACTCGTCCTAAAAGAAATGGGCTAGTCTGAGAGAGGCAGCAGAGGATAATCTTACTTCCTTTGTGTAAGCAACATTACACATTCCAATGAGAATTCAAGGTCTGTTCTGAATGCTGTACCAGCCACATCAGTTAATTTTCTCCCCTAAGTGAAGGCGCATTGTGTGAACCGGCCTTGGGGAGGGAGCATGTGTGTGGACCCTGGGGCATTTCTCCTTCCTCTTGATATCCTGGTTGCTATAGTACGGAACTCTATTTGTGACACACAGAAAACACTTTAAAGAAATGCTGCTTCCTGACCAGGACTTCCTGGGCAAACTGTCCTTCCGGAGACTGTTGAGCGTGAGGGGTTTACGTGCATTTCTGGACAGAGTGAGCCCAGCTCATTCAGACCCTGGGCTCCATTTGGAGCAGGACCTGGTGGTAAGGGACGCCTTGCTTTCCACTGAAGGGTTGGGCAGGCTGTCCCCCCCGGGGCCGCGTCTCCTGGCGGCTTTGACTTTAGGGCGTTGGCACCTTCCCCTCATCTGTCGTCTCTCCTCAGGAGGGCCAGTCGTGCAGTTGGCGCCTTATGTTTTCTGCACCCGGAGCCGTTTCTTATATCTAAACCACCAGTGAAAACAGGAAGTGATGAAGCAAAATTCGCCCGGCATCTGCACTGTGATCAACTTTTCTTTCTCTTTTTGTCATTCCTCATTAGGTATAGACACGTGTGGCCATCTACACCATAGGATCCCGGTTCCACTGACTTTGGACATTCTCGGGGTTTACAATGCCGCCACCTGCGGACACTGTCAAGGTGGCCATAGAATGGCCGGGCGCCTACCCCAAACTCATGGAAATCGATCAGGTCAGTAATGCCGGCAGCAATTTGTGGGTTGTTTTCAGTTTCCTTTCTATTCCGGAATTCTCACAGGCTCTGGATAGCTCATTTTTTTCCCTTTCTTTCTCTGGCTATGTTGAAAAAATCTGTGCACTAATAGTTGCAATGTAGTGTGATTTCTGTGCCACATGCAGTGGCGATATGGATGGGGTTTTTATACTCGTCCAACGTCTGCTTGGATTGCGTCAATACAGGGTTTGTGTCTGAAGCTGGGAGGGAGGCAGGAGGGACAAGTGGACTGGGCTCTGGGCAGCTGACACAGTGGAGGCTGTCCCAGCCCTGTCTGGCAGGGACTCGTGAATATGTGCAGATTGTTTTATCACAGCAACACAAAACTTAATTTTTTGAATCACCTTCTCTTCGATTTTTGCAGAAGTAGCCAACAAGTACATGATATTAACAGCTTGATAATGAAATTAGTATAGAGGGGCTCAGTCTTGGATCCTAGCCCATTGTAATTTTATTATTAGTGTGAGATGCACTAGTGTATTGTCTGGCATATAATAAATACTCAGTAAATATGTACTGAATGAAATAATATGAAGATTTTAAAAATGGTCTGACCTATAAAGGTCTCTTTTAGCTTGGATCTTGACAGTCTTACGGTGTAGCTCTTGTTTACTATTTGATTACAGGTTATCTCAGGAAGGTTACTTTTGTCATTCTAGACGATTCTAGCCTAACGTACACTTAAGGATTTCATAAAGCAAATAATATAGGATTCTAGACGGCTTTATACATTTTCAAAATTAGGGTGCCATGACAACTCCACTTTTTATTTATGTTCTCAATACTATTTTATGATTCTGATCTACACTTTTTTTTTCCTGGTCAGATTTTATTATCCGGTTGAAGACCACTGCAGGAGTTATATGTCATTGTGTGGATCCAAAGGACTTATTAAAACAAATTATAAAGGTCAAATCAGAATTAGTTGAGCTTGGGCATGAATGTAGAAGAGTCAATTTTTAGGATTGGTGTCAAAAAAGGTGTCATCAGACCAGCACATCATTGTCATTTTAACTGCTCTCTGAGGTAATTTCTATGTGACTCTAGAAGCAACCCATGCAGGTAGAGAAGCCCTTCCAGTGGTTCTATAGACGTTTGTGTCAGGCAACAGATGTTTATCCTTTTTCATGTGCTGTTTGAGAGATGATACCAGTTGAATTTTACTTAAAAATATGTCTGGGACTACTTGGTGCAGACTAAATGCAGTTAGGATTAGGTTTGGCTACAACCTAAGAGAACAGCAGCTTCAACAAGATAGAAGTTGGCCTCTCACTTCCACGTGGCCGACCTGGGCTTGTGTGATGCTCCAGTGCCATGGACCCAGGTCCCGTCTGTCTTCTTGCTTTGCCTTCTCCATATGTGGGGCTGAGAACCAGTTGCTTGGGCATTATCTGGGAGCTCATTAGAAATGCACAGTCTCAGACCCTACCCCAGACCTCCTGACCCAGAGTATGCATTTTAACAAGATCCCTGGGGGATTCCTATGTGTAGTTAAGTCTGAGAAGTGCTGAGCTGGATACCTGGTGCCCAAGCCCGAGTCCTCATCTGAACCAGCCGGGGCGGGGCACTTGCTCAAATGCTCTTGGGGTCGCATCCCAAGAGATTCTAAATCAGTGGTTCAGGTGAATTATTTCCTTTCGATTCTGCCATGGCTGGTAGCATTTGGGAACCTCTGCTTTAAGACAGCAAGTCCTGATATACCCTCTTAGAGGCCTTTGGAGTCAGTGTCCTGTTCCTGCCTTTGGGGATGGCCTTTGCTGTATGTGTGTCTTAAAATAATTTTTTAAAAATAATCTTTTTATTTTGGAACAATTTTAGATTTAAGAAAAATTGCAAAGATTGTATAGAGAGTTTCCATATACCCTTCACTCAGCTTCCTCTAATGTTAACATCTTAATGTAACTGTGGTACGTTTGCCAAAACTCAGAAACTAACAATGGTACGTTACTAGTAACTAAACTACAAACCTCATTTGGATTTCACCAGTTTTCCCCTTAATGTCCTTTTTTCTTTTCCAGGATCTAATCCAGGAGAACCAACAACATTGTAATATAGTCATCTTATTTCCTTAGTCTTTGACAGTTTCTCAGTCTTTCCTTGCTTTTCATGGCCTGATAGTTTTGAAGAGTAACTTTATTTTGATACAATTTCAAACAGAGAAATGGCAAGAATACTACAAAGAACTCCTGTCTACCTTTTATCCAGATTCACTAATTATTAATGTTTTGCTTCATTTGCTTTGTTATTTTCTCTACTTTTTCTCTCTCTAGTATATATCCTTTTTCTGAACCTTTTTCTGGAGGGTGATTTGGAGGCATCATCCCCCTTTACCTCTAAATATTTGGTGTGTCTTTCCTAAGAACAAAATTATTCTTTTACATAACCAGTCTCTTTATAAAAACCAAGAAATTGAACATTATTTCAACACTGTCATCTAATAGAGAGTCCATAGTCCATATTCAAATTTCATCAGTTATTCCAATAAAGTCCTTTATAGGTATTTTCCCTGCAGCCTGATACCCCTCCAGGATCATGTGTTTCGTTTATTGTCATGTCTCTCTGGTCTCCATTGATCTGGAATGGTTCCTGAGTCTTTCTTTATCTTTGGTGAGCTTGACAGCTTTGTAGAGTGCAGGACAGCTATTTTGTGGAATGTCCTTCAGTTTAGGTTTCTCTGATGTTTCCTCCCAATTAAATTCAGGTTTTGCATTTTTGGAAGAAATGCCAGAGGCATAATATTTTGTTTTTCTCTGGGCATCATATCAGGAGGCACATGATGTTGCCTTGTCTCATTCTTGGTGATGACTCTGGATTTATAAATGCAGATATTGAGGTTCATGGAAATCAGGTGATTTGCTAGTCAGTGAGACCAAGACACAAACCCGGGCCTCCTTTACTCTGAAGACTGAACTTTTAAACAGTTGGCTAAATTGTAGGCCTCCTGGTAATGCCATATGGAGACCTACACTAACAGCTGGAAACCCAGTCCCTTATTATCCTGAAGCTGCTGAAGGTGGAGTGAGACTCATGGCAGTGTTGGTGTCAGGTGTTTCTTGATCGAGTCAGAAGTTGCCACCAGTATTGGAAACGTATTTGCACATGCAATGAAGACTTGAGCAATGATTATTACATGAGTTTTCTCCTAATCTTCTACCTGGTTCAGTAAAGATCACATAACCTGCCCCTCTGCCATTGCACATTACCTTTGTTTAGAAAGCTTTTTAACCTGGAGAGCTACTATTTCACTAAAAGATATTTCTGGAAGTTGAACTAGGCATCACTGCCCCATGTTCTCCTAAAACCTTGAGTCTCTCTCCGTTTATCACATTGTGTTGTCAGTGTCTATCAATGTAAACCAGTGGTCCTCAGCCCTGAGTGTGCCTAAGAATCACCCAGGGAGCTTGTGAAAAATGCACATTCCCAGGCCAGCTGCAGAGATTTTGATTCTATTCGCCAGAGGTGGGTCCCTTAATCTGGTTTGTGATGAGCACCAGGTGAGTTCCATGCAGGGGCTCCCACACCTCCTGATGCAGGGGCTCATGATAGACAGTCAGGAGCCTGTGAGTTGCTTCATGTTTGAGTGCTGTTTCTTTAGTGCCTGGTGAATAGTCCTTATTCGATAAATGGATATTTAATTAGTGAACAGTTGGGAGAGGGAGCTTCCTGAGTGGACATCAGTTCTGCTCAGCCATGCTCTAACAGTGCCCATTGGGTTCAAGGGGATGTCTGCTTGGAAGTGGAGTGGTTTATCTTCTTTGTAAATTTTGAGGAGAAAATTCTGTGTTTCTATTCAGCAGGAAAAGCCCCTAGGAGCTTTTTACAAATAGAGCTTGCTGTATCATATGAGGATCTCAAAAGAATTGTCAGCTAGCTCGTTTGTTCACAGCTTCTGCCCCTGCCTTTACTGTCTGTTGTTGAGTTTCAGCCTCGGGAGCCACCTGAGACTGCGAGTGGTGGTTGCCTGATACACCGAGCCTAAAAGGCTCCCCATCCACTGTTCTTGTTAACTTGCTATTACCGAACAGCATATTTCTCAGTCAAGATTCTAGAACCACCAATACTTTGACACGAGGCATCTGCTGAGAGGCAGTGTGGCCTAACAGACACAGTGCAGGCTCTGGGGACATTTAAACCTGGCTGTCAGCCCTGGAGATCCCCTCTCTGTGAGAGGCCCAGTTAGCCCCTTTAAGCCTCAGTAACTTTGTCTTGTAAAGTTGAGATAATAATTTGCCACTTTTATGATCATTGTGAAGATGAAAGAAAATATATGAAAACAAGGTAGGACATTGCTGGCTTAGAGTAATTACTCCATAAAGGCAGCCATTAATGCTGCTAGTTTGAGCAAGTTCCCATTAGATTAGAAAATGAGATGCTCTGGTTTTCTTTTTTACCTGCGCTTCCATCCTGAACAGTTTCCCCCCTTTTCCTTCTTTCTATGCCTAGCTTTTTAAATGTTTAGGAAGGAGAGAAAATTAAAGGGTAAGTGGGAGGCAACACCTAGTAATAAAGGAACATGCTAACTAGACATGCAGCCAGTTCATGCTATGGAATATTCACTGGCTCCCCAGTACTCCTTTATGATATTTTCTTCTATCTCTTGGCCACTCCCCAGCATTCTGGGCAGCAGCTCTTCTGTTCCCTGCACATTCTCTTCAGGCCTCCAATTTCTCCTGCCTCTATCCTGTCCCCACATGCCTTTCTTTCCAAGGAGCACACCAAGGCAAGAAAGCCACCACTCCTCTCTGTGCCTCAGAACTTCTCTGCTTATGTATTTGCATGCCCCCACAGACCACTCGATGCCTTTGTCTCCTGCTATCCTGTCTTCTTTTTCTTCTGCCAGCAGAGGAGGGAAGAGGTGGCCCTACTTTCTTCCCAGGGCATTCAGCCTGTCCCAACCCCAGTCTCTTGCTGCACCTGTGGTGCAGGTTAGCCATCCTCTCCCCTTACCTGAGGCTTTG